TGGCTTTTCTTATACAGTGTGGGTCTATTCTATTCCATTGATTTGTTGATTTTAATGTTAAAATCACACTGTTGATTGCTGTGGCTTTATAGAAAGACTTGAAGTCACATAGTAATAGCTCTCCAACTTTATTATTATTTTTCATGTTTGTTTTGGGTATTCTAGGTCCTTTCTATTTTCATGTAGATTTTTTTCATCAACCTGTCATTTTCTAGCAAAAGCATAGTAGGGGTTGATTTGGGTTGTGTTGAATCTTTAGATCAATTTGGGGAAAATTGACATTGTAACAACATAGAACCTTTGTACCTGTGAAAATAGGCTCTCTCTCCATTCATTTAGGTCTTCAATTTCTCTTAGTAATATTTTATAGTTTTTTGGTGAGGACCAATTACACGTTGTTAAATGTTGAATTGTGTTTTCTTAAAAAGATATGTTGAAGTCTAGCCTCTAATGCTTCAGACCTTATTTGGAAATAGGATCTTTACAGAGGTAGTCAAGTTTAGGTCATTAGCATTGTGGGCCCTAATCCATTATGACTGGTGTCCTCATTAAAAGGGGAAATTTGAGGGGCGCCTGGGTGGCTCAGTCGTTGGGCGTCTACCTTCAGCTCGGGTCATGGTCCCGGGGTCCTGGGATCAGGCCCCGCGTTGGGCTCCCTGCTCAGCGGGAACCCTGCTTCTCCCTCTCCCACTTCCCCTGCTTGTGTTCCCTCTCTCGCTGTCTCTCTCTCTGTCAAATAAATAAAATCTTTAAAAAAAAGGAGGGGGCATATGAACAGAGACAGACACACACAGAAGGAGGATGATACGAAAACCCACAGTGGGAACACTGTGTGAAGACAGAGGGTTCGAGTGATTCATCTACAAGCCAATGAATACCAAAGATTGCTGGTAAATCACCAGAAACTAAGAAGAATCAAGGAACCCTACAGGCTTTAGAGGAAGATTAGATGAACAAATTTAATTGGGAGAAGAAAACTTTATTTCCATGATGATGCAAGCAGAGTCAAATTGAATGATAAAAGTAATTTTATAAACGACTTAATTGTTCAAGTTAGGTTTATTGTGATTTTTGGTTTTGGTCCAGTTTTGAACATTCAGTTCTTTGATTAACTTGGATTTTTCTTTCAGAATAAAAGAGTATAAGGATAAAATTCCTTTAATGAATCTTGGCTGCTCAGGAAGAACACTCAGTATAAGACAGCAATATTAAGTACAGTGGGAAAATTTAATTCTATTGATTTATGTATTTGCAAATAACTCCTCCCAGTTGTTTGTTTTTAATTTTGTGATGTTTGATATCATATAGGAGTATTAAAAAACAAAATTTAGGGACGCCTGGGTGGCTCAGTCAGTGAAGCGTCCGCCTTCGGCCCAGGTCATGATCCTGGCGTCCTGGGATCTAGTCCCACATAGGGCTCCCTGCTTAGCGGGGAGCCTGCTTCTCCTTCTCTCTAACAAATAAATAAATAATAAAAAGAAACTTGGAAACAAATCTGTAAAAAAAATAAATAAAAAAAATTTAACCAAGTAAATTTGAAGATGTAATTGACTTCATTGAATGATTCATGAATTGGGCAGCATCTCACCCAGCAAGCAGTAGAGGGCTCCTCTGAGCTGCAGGGAAGGAAAGGCAGAGAAGAGCCATTTAAAAAATAATGGGGTGCCTGGGTGGCTCACTTCGTTGAGAGTCTGGCTCATGATTTCAAATCTGGTCACGATCTTAGGGTTGTGGGATCGAGCCCCGCATCAGGCTTGGCACTCAGCGTTGAGTCGGCTTGAGATTCTGCTTGAGATTCCCTCTGAACCTCTCCCGCCGCAGCCACTCTCTCTCACTCTTAAATAAAAACAAATAAATATTTAAAATAAATTAAAAACACAAATATTTAAAAACATTTAAAGCATAAAAACATAATAATTTATTAGCAAGGAATGCAGTGTTTAGGCAAGGTCGCCCTCCTAAGGGGCCTCTCAAGGGATTGCCTGCAGGAAATATCAGTTTGGGTGGTTAAAGGTTACATTTGAGGGGGTTGAAACTGAAGTTAGGTTAGATATTAAATCTTGGTTTACTGTTGTGGGACCTTAACTGTCTCCATTATAGCCCTGTGGTTTTCTTTTTTCTTTTCTTTTTTAATGTTTATTCCAAAGCCATTTTAAATCTTTAAGTAAAAATCCAGTGTTGCCACCCAAAACATTAACAATGGGTGATTATCCAAGGTGGCTTTTGTTCTACAAAATGACCACAAAGAGTATGCTACTCTCTAAGGGGAAGGAAACAAGCCATCCTCCTGTAGTTTTCTTTTTAACAGAAGTTTTGATTGTTGTTGTTTTTATGGTGGTAAAATGCATATAACAGAAAATTTACCATTCTGATCTCTTTTTTAAAGATTTTATTTATTTATTTATTTATTTTAGAGAGAAAGCGAGTTGGGAGAGAAGCAGAGGGAGTGGGAGAGAGTTCTCAAGCTGACTCCACTGAGCGTGGAGCCCCAGGCGGGGTTCAGCCTCATGACACTGAGACCATGACCTGAGCCGAAATCAAGAGTCAGGCCAAGTTTGGCCTGCATATTTTTTTGTAAAGGAGTGTTATTGGAACAGAGGCACTCATCTATACCATTGGCTAGTTTTGTGCTTACAGTGGCAGGAGTTGAGTCACTGCAACAAAGACTACATTGCCCACAAAGCATAAAATATTTATTATCTTGCCCTTTATGGGAAAAATTTGCCGCCCCCTGAACTCTCACATGCTGTATTACACTACCTCTACACATACCCTAGCCTTCTTTTTTCGAAGTGCTATCAGTGAAGTGCCGCTGTCCCTCCCTGTCTTCCTGGGCTTCGTTTCTAGCCCCTACTGTTTTTTTCAGGAGACTTACACTTTTCTCTCCTGTATTTCCCACTGTATTGCCTCAAATGAATCCTTCTCGACAGCTAAAATAAGAATTTGGCATACTTCATTGCTACCTGTTACGCAGTTACATTACTGTTTTTAGTTCTTCTACGAATTTGCATACTGCTGGTCTGCAAGCCATGTAAAGCCTGCAGACATGTGTTATGTGACCCATTCAGTGCCAACATTTAAAATTGGGAGATTTCACTTTAAAATATGGATTTCCGGATTGTTTTGAAAAAATCAGAAAATATGGCAAGGACGACCCCAGTTTCCCAGTGGCAGTAGTCAGCTGGAGTTGAGTAGCAGCTGCCCCGGTAAAAGAGCAGTTGTGTTCTCTTTTTCTAGATTTAACTCGAGATGATTTTTTTCCCCTCTTTGTGGCTTAGTGTTTCTTTAATCCTGTAGATTCGTTTGAAATGTCCGATGATCCTTGGTTTTACTTTCACATTTAAAAATGAGGCCCTTCAAAAAAATAAATAAAAATGAGGGCCTAGAATAACGCTCCTTGTACGTATATTGGCAGTGGTGACTGGCAGACATTGTTTGAGGTTATGCTTGGCCATTATGCTTTGCCACCATAAGTGCCACATTTTAGAGGGCTTTGTTCTGGGTCACCACCTCTCATATTAGCTCTATTGGCTCTGTCCAGGTAATTCAGTTTCTTTAAAAAATAACTTTTGAGGGGCTCCTGGGTGACTCAGTGGGTTGAACATCTGATTCTTGATTTCTGCTCAGGTCATGATCTCAGGTTGTGGGATTCAGCCCCTGGTCAGGCTCCACACTCAGCGGGGAATCTGCTTCTCTCCCTTTCCCCGTCTCCTGCTCACGCAAGTGCTCATGCTCTCTCTCAAATAAATACATAAATAAAACTTTAAAAATAACTTTTGAGTGTGCATATATACACTTATACACACATCTAGGAAGAAACGCCTACCAGCTAAGTATCCTGATTTAACAGATCATGAACTTTAATTCCCTGTCCCACACTTATTCACTGTGGTCTCTCTTGTGCCTTGTGTTTTTAAGTCTGAGCTGCTCTTCCAGTATACGGGGCAGATCTCCTCCTGACTCACCTTTCTTTCCAAAGGATGCATTTTTCTTCATTCTGATGTATAAGTCGTCTCTTTTACATCACCGTCCCATTTTCTAGAAATTTGTTAAAGTTTTCTGTTTACTGATTGACCCTTCCCTAATCTCTTTGCTATTGTAAGATTACTTTTTAAAAATGCCTTTAATACTGTTACTTTAATAGATTCTAGAACAAGAGTTAAGTATATGTATTCATGTGCCATTGTGAACCAGAAAAACTCTGGACTTTCTTTTTTTTTTAAAGTTTATAATCTCTACACCCAACATGGGGCTCAAACTCACAACTCCAAGGCGCCTGGGTGGCTCAGTTGGTTGAGTGACTGGCTTCAGCTCAGGTCGTAATCCCAGGGTCCTGGGGCAGGGTCCTGCGGAGCAGGGAGCTTGTTTCTCCCTCTGCCTCTCTCTCTCTCTCATGAATAGATAAATAAAATCTTAAAAAAAAAAACAAAACTCACGACCCCAACATCAAGAGTTACACACTCCACTGACTGAGCTAGCCAGGCACCCCTGGACTTTCTTTTAAAATGAAATTCCAGGCGTGCCTGGCTGGCTCAGTTGGTTAAGTGTCTGCCTTCGGCTCAGGTCATGATCCCTGGGTCCTGGGATCGAGCCCCTTGTTGGGCTGCCTGCTGAGGGGAGAGTCATCTTCTCCTTCTGCCCCTTTCCCACTAGTGTGCGTGCTCGCTCTCTCAAATAAATAAATCTTTTAAAAAATAAAATAAAGTGGAATTTCATAGGGGCCCATGGCTGGCACAGTCAGTAGGACATGCGACTCTTGATCTCGGGGTTGTGAGTTTGAGCTATATGTTGGGTGTAGAGTTACTTAAAATTATTTTAAAAATAAAATCTTTAGAAAATAAAATGGCACTCCACAGAGAAGGTATTACTATAGCTCTTAATAATTGTACATTTATTCTGATTTCACGTTTTCATATTAATACAGGTTTAATGAAAAATCAAAGCTAGCCATAAAATTCTATGTTGCCTATAATATTATTTTCTTTCTTGATCTGAAACAGTTGATGACTGTCAGCCCGTTCGCTTATTAAGTAGACCCGGGGAATTGAGAAGAGAATATGAGGAGGAGATAAGCAAGGTAGGTACTAAGTAGTTATTCTTTTTTGGAAGAATTCTCTTGTGTTTTCAGGTTCAGATTTTACATACAGTTTTGTGTTTGTTTAAAAAAATATCTTACTCATTTTTGGAGACAGAGTGTATGCATGTGCCGCAGTGGGGGAAGGGGCAGAGGGAAAGAGAGAGAGAGACTCTTAAACAGGCTCCATGCTCAGCACTCGGTGCGGTGCCCCATGAGGGGCTTGATCCCATAACCCTTAGATCATGACCTGAGCCAAAATCGTTTAACTGACTGAGCACCCAGGTGCCCCATATATGCCTGTGTAAATAATATATATTGAAATATAAATTTTTTTTTAAAGATTTTATTTATTTATTCATGAGAGACAGAGAGAGAAGCAGAGGGAGAAGCAGGCTCCCAAGGAGCAGGGAGCCTGATGCAGGACTCGATCCCAGGACCCTGGGGTCATGACCTGAGCCGAAGGCAGACGCTTAACCATCGGAGCCACCCAGGCTCCCGGAATATAAATTTTAATGTACTTTACAAAGGCTCTGTTTTTTACATGTGTTCACAGTAGTTACTAGATTTATTTATATATAATTTGTGCTCTTATGTGATAGACTTTTTTTCATTTTCCCTTCCCATCTTTATTAATTTATTTGTATATTTTTTAAATGTATAGAATATTAACATGCACCCCAAAGTAAAAATAACATGAAAAGTTATTCTCAGAGTGGATACTCCCTCCTGTATCTTATCCACCCTGTGTCCACCACACTGTAGATAACTAATTTTATCACTGTGTAGTTTATCCTTCCTTTGGTGTTTTTTGTAAAGATAAATAGATATATAACTGCTCTTGTTTATTGAATATTGCATACTATATATTCTTTTGAACTTTGTTTTTTTTACTTGGTAATATCCCCTGGAAATCACTCCATATTATTCAAGAGAGAGTAAGATAGTAAGATAGTTTCCAGTATTTTCTAATTACAAATAATACTGCAATACGGTGCATATAGATCTTCAGGGTAAATTTCTAGACGTGAGATTGCCAGGTTTCGGGTAAATGACATGTAGATTTGTTAGAACTGCCAAATTCTCCTTTATAGGGGTACCATTTTGCATTTTCAATGAGAATGCCTGTTTCAAAACACCCTTGCCAACAGAGTACTGTCAGGCTTTTAAATTTTTGCTAATCTGATGGGTGAGAAGTGGTATTGGCATAGTTTTTCTTTTAAAAAAATACTTTGTTGAGGTAGAATTTATCTATAGTAAATTTCAATATAGGAAAATTTACTAATTTTAGATACACAGTTTTTTTAAAGAAAAATTTTGTTAACGATTTTATTTATTTATTTGAGAGAGAGAGAGAAACAGCATGAGAGGGGAGAGGGTCAGAAGGAGAAGCAGGTTCCCCGCTGAGCCAGGAGCCCGATGTGGGACCCGATCCCAGGACTCCAGGTTCATGACCCGAGCCGAAGGCTGTCGCCCAACCAGCTGAGCCACCCAGGTGCCCGGTATACAGTTTGATAACTTTGTTTAACCCAAGGTCACAAAAGTTTCTTCCAAAATTTGTTTTAGTTCTTGTGTTTAGATCTATAATCCATTCAGTTAGTTTTTGAGTATGACATGAGGTAGGAGTTGAGATTGATTTTTTTTTTCCTCATACAAATATTACCTTATTCTACCCCCATGTATTGTAACGAGCATCTTTTCCCCAGTAAATTGTCTGTGAACCTTTTAGAATAGCAAGTGACCCTAAGTCTGGGTCAGTTTCCTCCATGGGTGTTAGGTTATGTTAGCTCCAGGCTTAAAACCAGGAGGAGCAGTTTGTCTGATTATGTTCACTCTCCAATTCCTTTGGTAGTTGCTTATTATATAATGTCCAGGTTTTAAAATTGTATTCTGTTGGAAGATGTCTTCCACCAGTGTTTTACTCCAGCATTACTAGAAGCTGGAAGTCCTATCTCTGTGTAGATTTACTTGGTATTTTTCTTATTATGAGGAAAATTATATTTTCATATAATTAAGGGACATTTTTATAATTTTTGCGGGGTGAATTGTCCATGTCTTTGGCCAATTTTTCTACATCATTTTTGTCTTCTCAACTGTTAAAACTACTAACTGGTTATTATTTCTGTATATGGATGTAATTGAGTTTTGCTTATTAATTTTATATCTTGCTAGCTTGTGAATTTTTTATTGAGTTAGTTTTGATAGTGATTCTTAAGCATTTAATTATGAAAGATTTTTTTCATTTCCCTGAAGCTTTGAGCTTAAAGGATGGGAAAAGGGTGGTAGATTATGGGTGTTTTATTCCATTGTGGCTGCTATAACAAAAATACCATAAACTGGTTGGCTTAAACAAAAAACATTTGTTTCTCACAGTTCTGGATCTGGAAAATACAAGATTGAGGCACAGGCAGATCTGCTGTTGGATGATGGCCTGCTTCCTGGCTTGTAGACAGCTGCCTATTCGTTATGTCCTCACATGGCCGAGAAAGATTATTTCTCTGTTTCTTCTTTATAAGGATGTTAATCCCTTTCATAGGGGCTTCACCCTTATAACCCAGTTACCTCCCAAAGGCCCTTACCTCTACATACTGTCACATCGGGGATTATGGCTCCAGCATATGAATTTTGGGGGACACAAATAATGAGTGTAGATGAGGAGAGCATGAAGGGCTAATTGTGAAGAACCTAATGGGAAAAGAAAGGGGTAATGTTTACAGAAGAGCATCTAAAGTATAAACATCTAAAGGTTTTACACTATTTTTTCTTACTTGGTCTTCAAAACCTTTTGTGTATTTTGTACTTACACTACATAGATTTGGACTAGTCACATTTCAACTACTCAATAGCTACCTGTTGCTAGTGTAGCTACTAATGGCTACTATATTGGACCATGCAAGTTCCAGAAGACCTAAAATAATAATTATGATGGCTGGGGCACCTGGTGGCTCAGTTGGTTAAGCGTCTGCCTTTGGTTCAGGTCATGATCCCGGAGTATTGGGATCAAGTCCCGCATCGGGCTCCCTGATCAGTGGGGAGTCTGCCTCTCCCTCTCCCTCTACTCTTCTCCCCACTGTGCTCTCTCTCTCTCTCTAATAAATAAATAAAATCTTAAAAAAAAATAGTTATGATGGTTAACTTAATTGTCAACATATGGTCTAAGCAGTGTCCTTAAGTAAGGGTTTTATTTTATTTTTTTAAAGATTTATTTATTAGAGAGAGAGCATGAGCAGGAGGGGCAGAGGGAGAGGGAGAAAGAATCTCAAGCAGAGTCCACACTGAGCTTAGAGCCTGACGTGGGGCTCAAGCTCACAACCCTGAGATCACGACCTGAGCTGAAACCAAGAGTTGGATGCTTAACTGACTGCACCACCCAGGTGCCCCCTTAAGTAAGGGTTTTTTTAAGATTAATTATTTGTCAGAGAGAGTGAGAGAGCACAAGCAGGGGGAGCTGCAGGCAGAGGGAGAAGCGGGCTCCTTTGTCTAGCAAGGAGCCTGATGCAGGACTCGATCCCAGGACCCTGGGATCATGACCTGAGTCGAAGGCAGACGCCCAACCGACTGAGCCACCCAGGCGTCCCTTAAGTAAGGGTTTTGAAGGAATAACCTAGTCCTTAAAACAGTGTAGTGAGAACAGGTTCTATAAAGATACTTTTGGCTAGAAGTAAAAGAAAACCCAACTTAAACTACCTTAAATAAGAACATTGTAATTAACTGGAATTCCAAAGGTAGTAGGGGCTTCAGGGTTGGTTTCATTCAGAGCTCTAGCTCCATTTCTTTGCTAACTTCTGTCAGGTACTTTAGTTAAGGCTAATAGCAAAATGGCTGCACAGTTTTGAACCTCAGGTGCATATACAACAGGCAGAGGCGGGAACAGCAGTCTTTTCCTATGACTTTCTTTTAAGAGCAAGAAAACTTTGTCTTTAACAAACTTTCCCTTATGTCTCCTACACTTGAACTGGACCAAGGACTTAATTCTTGAGTCAAATCCTTTGGATTTCTGAAATGGTTTTTGTATTATTTCTTTCAGGAAGTATAGTTTAAATGACCACAAGCATGGCCTTAAGTCTTAGAATTTGAGTTTGAGTGTCCACTCTGCCACTTAATGATCTAAGAAAGTTACTTGCTTTTCTGTGTCTGTTTCCTCATCTGTAAATCACATAATCACCATTGTGGCTGCTGCTTCAGCAGCCACTCCACTCCTGCCAACTAGGCATGAGGGATTCTTCCTAACTGCAGGGTTAAACCCTGATTAGTCTCAGTTTTTATCATTCCATCCCCTTTGTTAGCGTTTGGTTCAGAAATCTGGGCCTAAGTTAGTAAGCACATAGCATTGAGTTAACCAGGGAAAAATATTACCTAGAGACATTTCCACAAATGTTGTAACAGTGTAGTTGAAAGTGTGGTAGGACTGCGGTGAAGAGGGATGGTGGTTTGATCAAGGTTTCATTGGGCTGGTTAGGGAAGGCTTCCTTGAAGAGACATCTTGAACTGTTTGGCAGGAATTTGCCTTCAGATTTGTACTCCATTTGAAACATTTTAGTTCTTGCCAATTTGTTCTTTTTTATTACTTTTACCATTCTTCTTGAGAAATTTTGCAAGTAGGGGTGCCTGGGTGGCTCAGTTGGTGAAGCGTCTGCCTTCGGCTCAGGTCATGATCTCCACGTCCTGGGATCGAGCCCTGTCTCGGGGTCCTGATCAGCAGAGCATCTGCTTCTCTCTCTCTCTCTCCCTTTGCCTCTCCCTACTGCTTGTTCTCTCTCTCAAATAAGTAAATAAACTCTTAAAAAAAATAAATAAATATTGCAAGATAGGGTCACCTGGGAGGCTCAGTTGGGTAAGTGTCTGACTCTTGATCTCAGCTCAGGCCTTGGTGTCAGGGTCATGAGTTCAAGCCCTGTGTTGGGCTCCACACTGGACATAGGACCTACTTTAAAAAATAAAAAAAAAAAAGGAATATTGCAAGTATATTAAAAAAGTTCAGAGAAGTGTTCTTTATTAATCATTTTTAAGGTGGAGGCAGAGCGACGAGCCAGTGAGGAAGAAGAAAACAAAGCCAGTGAAGAATACATACAGAGATTATTAGCAGAGGAGGAAGAGGAGGAAAAACAACAGGCAGAAAAAAGGCGAAGAGAGATGGAAGAACAACTGAAAAGTGATGAAGAACTAGCAAGGAAGCTAAGCATTAATATTGTAAGTTTTAGGAGAGAACTTTTTATTAATGTTCCTATTGCTTTAGACTATATGGTTTTCTTTCTTTCTTTTTCTTTCTTTCTCTTTCTTTTTTTTCTTTCTTTCTTTTTTTCTTTCTTTCTCTTTCTTTTTTCTTTCTTTTTTTCTTTCTTTCTTTTTTCTTTCTTTTCTTTCTTTTCTTTCTTTCTTTCTTTCTTTCTTTCCTTCCTTCCTTCCTTCCTTCCTTCCTTCCTTCCTTCCTTTCCTTTCCTTTCCTTTCCTTTTCTTTCTTTCTTTCTTTCTTTTCTTTTCTTTTTTTTCTTTCTTTCGGATTTACTTATTTTAAAGAGAGAGCATGAGAGGGAGGGGCAGAGGGAGAGGGAGAGAGAATCTCAAACAGACCCCACCCCAAGCACGGAGATCACAACCTGAGCTTGAAATCAAGTCAGCCACTTAACCCAACTGCACTTCCCGACTATGTGGTTTTCAAAGATCTGAGGAAGTGTTCACCATGACTAGAAGCAATTTCTGACATATTTGCTCTACTTAAAACAAATTTTTTTTTGCATATTGTTAAAATTTTTGCATGTTACATATTTGCTCTATGTTAGTAAATTCAGAGTATGTAGGAAAGCTATTCAAAGTGAAAGCTTCCTCTCTCCCCTTCCACTTCCGTATTCTCATTCCTGTTCCATTACATTAGTCTCTTTCCCCAAAAGTTGGCACTATTAACAGTGCTAATTTTATATTTTCTTACTCACCTAAAAAGAATGTATCAATCACACTGTTTTTTCCTTGCCTTTTTAAACTTGATATATCTTAGAGATTGTTCCTGTAAATACATATAGTCTTATCTAATTCTTTTTAAGAATGGCATAATATTCCATTGTATGGATGCAAATCACTTTTTGGAAGTGAAGCACATTAAATTTTTAAGTAATACACTAGACTTGGATTTTATTATCTTGCTGTAGTTAAATTACTACATGAATAGAAGAAAGGATGATAAAACCATACTTGAAGACTTGAGAGTACAATGGGACCCAGTGATTTGGAAGAACCTGGCAGAATGACCTGGGGTTCTTTTAAAATACAAATTCCCATACCTGTTCTAAATCTGCATCAGATTCTCTGGGGATGGGATTTAGGGAATACCATTCCCAGAGGCATCTAGGGAAGCCTGGTGTACATTGAGGTTTGAGAGCCTCTAAAAACAATTCCTCTGCTTTTAAACAACAAATACCTTAAAATATACTTACCCAAACAAATATATCCAGAATTGGGATTTTTTTTTTTTTGAGAGACCTACTATTCATAATAGTGTACCCAAGTTTTAGATTATATGCCCCCCCTTTTTTTTAGAGGGAGAGGTTGGTCAGAGGGAGAGGGAGAGAGAGAGAATCCCAGGCAGGCTCCATGCCCAGCACAGAGCCTAACATGGGCCTGGAGATCATGACCTCAGCCAAAGTGAAGTCAGAAGCTTAACCAACTGAGCCACCCAGGCACCCCTGCCCTCTTTAATATATATATATATCTTTTTAAAATTTTAGTAGAATAGTTTTGAAAAGGTACACAATCAGGAAATTAAATAAAAGACATTGATTAATAGAAGAACAAATGACATAGGTAAGAAAAGACATCAAAGAGGAGAATTTGGGGTCTTTACCTGTCAAGAGTCTTGTTCCAAACCTTCTTGTTTTTAACAGGGATTAAAAGAGGAGATCTATTGATATTTTAGAAGAATTCTGGGTTTACTTGAGAAAGTTTGGTGGTCCAGGGCCAAATGTCTACCATCACTAAGTATATTAATTTTTCCAGTAGTGTAGTGAGCAGCTTGTGAGACTGGGATAGCAAGTAAATATTTATGATATTGGTATGCTCTTAAATCCCTAAATTAAATTATTTTTACAGAAAATTACCTTTTATTCCAGGTATATCCACCACTCTTTGAATTTTCCCCTATAGATTAAGGTAGTTATTTTATGAAGCCATTCATTAGAAAAATGATTATTAGTATCATCATGCCCTTTGTGCTTTATAATGCAAAGTAAAAATATATTAATGTAGACCAACTTGGATGGACATAATCCTATTTATACTAATTTTTGCATGGTCAGTGTTATTCAAAGGATGTGTAGAATTTCACTGTGAGCATAATTCCTGAAAAATTCTGTTGTGGATTCTGAATTAGTCAAAATAATAACCTATTTTATTATAATTTTTTTAAATGTCTGTTATGCTTTTTCTGTTGAAGAACAATTTCTGTGATGGAAGTGTCTTGGCTTCTCCCTTGAATTCCAGAAAATCTGATACAGTCACAACCAAGTCTCAGAAGAAAAGTAAGAACAAACAAACAAACACTGGAGATATTCATAAGTAAGTGAACATGAATATTTATGTATGTGTGTATTTAGAGGGAGAGAGAGAAAGAGCGTGTGCATAGATAGGGGGTTGGGGAGGGGGCCAGTGGGAGAGGGAGAGAGAGAATCTTAAGCAGACTCCATTCCCAGAATGCAGCCCAATGTGCGGCTTGATCTCACAACCCTGAGATCATGACCTGAGCCAAAATCAAGAGTCAGTTGCTTAACTGACTGAGCCACCTAGGTGCCCCTATCAGTTATTTATTGATCACTTACTGTATGCTGGTGTTTTTGCTTATATAGTCCACTGATTGTTAAAATTTGGTCCATGAACTTTGCATGAAAACTCTCCAGATGGTCTGAGATGGTCTCAGATTGATGTAAAATGAAAATAAGGATGCTAGCTTAGATGCTTGGTTATCCTGAAGAGAGATATGAAGTCTTGTTTTAAGAGAGAGGGGGAAAGAGTGGGGAAGGGGAGGCAGGGGGAGAGGGAGAGAATCCCAAGGAGGCACCAACGCCCAGCGTGGAGCCTCACGCAGGGCTCAGTCTCACAACCCTGAGATCATGACCTGAGCCAAAATCAGGAATCAGATGCTTAGTCAACTGAACCACCTAGGTGTCCCTGAAGTCTTTTTTTATCTTGATGCCTCAGGATTTTCACGTTCCCATTTTCTCAGAATTAACCATTTGGATTCCTTTTTCTCTTGGTTTAGATTCACATGAGAAAAGCTAGTCCCATACAAGGTCATCCTCACTGAAAGAGTTTATAACTTGGCATCTAGGTCATTCCCCCACCCTTTTTTTCTCAGTTTATGCACTATATTTCTTCTCTACTATACAAAAAACATGAGTCAGGTAGTCAGTAGTGATTTAATAGTGGTTTGGATTTAGTCTCCTCACAACGCCCCTCCAGGAGCAGGTAGAGTTGATGATTTTATTAGGTTATATGCTTTCCCATAGTAATGAACAGTTGGAAAAGTTTAAGAACCACAATCTAGAGTTTAAAAATAGGGGCAGCTGGCTGGCTCAGTTGGTAGGTCATGCAACTCTTAATCTCAGGGTCATGAGTTCAAGTCCCACATTGGGTGTGGAGCCTATTTTAAAAATAAATTAGTAAAAATATGTAAGGGGTTTTGGCTGAGTTGAATAAATATGTGCAGGTAATTTGCCTCCTTCCAAAACTCATAGAAATTTTCATTTTGGAGCAGGGAGATGGAGATTTGTTGGGGCAGTTAAATGAGGAGATTGCTATTAAAAGAGAAAAATAGATGTCTTAGTATCAGTATTGTTAATGCTGATGTTATACAAAGTAGAAATCAAGAGAAAAACTATTAAGAGAAAAGCAGAGATATTTCATATTGATGTAATATTGTTCTGCTTAAAGGATGTAACTGTCATGAATCTCCACGTACCTCAATATATACTTTGAAATATATAAAGATAAAAATTTACTAGAAATACAAAAATGGACAGATGAATTTAAAAGTAGGTACATGTATAAAGACAGAAAGCAGGTTTGTAGTTGCCAGTGGCTGGGAAGTGGTGGGAATGGGGAGTTACTGCTTAACACATGCATGGTTTCCTTTGGGGATGATAAAAACATTTTGGAACTGAGTAGAGGTGATGGGGTTTTACAACTTCATAAACATACTAAGATGCCACTGAATTGTACATTTTTTTTTAAAGATTTTATTTATTTATTTGACAGAGACACAGCGAAAGAGGGAACACAAGCAGGGGGAGTGGGAGAGGGAGAAGCAGGCTTCCCGCTGAGCAGGGAGCCCGACATGGGGCTCGATCCCATTACCCTAGGATCACGACCTGAGCCGAAGGCAGACGCTTAACAACTGAGCCACCCAGGCGCCCCTGAATTGTACATTTTAAAATGGTTAATTTTGTGTCAGAGGATTTCATCTCAAATTTAAAATGATTAACAAAAAGACCACTCAAGTGTTTGAAAATTAAGAAAAACTGCTAAGTAACTCATTGGTTAAAGAAATCTTGATGGAAATAATAGAACTGAAAGTATTATACATCAAAACTTTTGGAAGGTAGCTAAAGTGGTATTTAGAAAACCTTAAATGACATATGAGAAAAAGGGAGAAACAGGACACCTGGGTGGCTCAGTCAGTTAAGTGTCTGCCTTCGGTTCGGGTCATGATCTCAGGGTCCTGGGATCCAGTCCCGCATCAGGCTCCTTGCTCAGCATGGGGGGGGGGCCTGCTTCTCCCTCTGCCTGACGCTCCTCCTGCTTGTACTCTCTCTCTCTGACAATAAATAAAATATTAAAAAAGAAAAAGGGAGAAAGGCTGAAAATAAATTATTTATTCATTCATTCCTTCCTTTATTTATTTATTTTAGAGACAGAGGGAGAAAGCGCAAGTGCACAAGCAGAGGGAGGAACAGAGTGGGAGGGAGAGGGAGGGGAAAGAATCTCAAGCTGACTCTGAGCTGAGTGCAAAGCCCAGTGCAAGGCTCTGTCTCATGACCCTGAGATCATGACCTGAGCCTAAACCAAGAGTCAGACACTTAACTGACTAAGCCATTCAGGTGCCTCAAGAATATATTTAAAATGGGGTGCCTGGGTGGCTCAGGTGGTTGAGCATCTGCCTTCGGCTCGGGTCATGATCCTGGGGTCCTGGGATCGAGTCCCGCATCGGGCTCCCTGCTGGGCGGGGAGCCTGCTTCTCCCTCTGCCTCTGCCTCTCTCTCTCTGTCTCTGGCTCTCATGAATAAATAAATAAAACATTTAAAAAAAAAGGAATATATTTAAAATGACAATTCCAGGAATACATTGCTGGCTTAATATTAGATGATGATTTAATGTTAACCTATTAACTATTAACCATTTAAATATCAAAAGCATGAGAATGAGAATTCTTAATAAAGTGGGAATAGGAAGAAACTTACCTGTTAAAGGATATCTACTAGGAAATTTATATCAGATATCATACTTTACGGTAGTAAATTGAAATCATTCCTGTTAAGGAAAAGAAAAAGGTGGCCTGCTATTTACCACTTCTGTTCAGTGTTGTACTAGAGATTTCAGTCTGCACAATAAGACAATAAAAGGAAACGAGATAATGAGCTTGGAAAAGAAACCATTGTTATTAGAGGTGGAATATAGCAAATACATTGAAAATCTGAGAGGTCAGAGATACATTTTTAAAATCAATTAAGAGTTTAGCAAGTTTAGTGGATGCAAAATCTACAAAAAGTCTGTTGGAAATGTAACAAGATTCAGTTTATTATAGCATTAGAAAATAAAAAGTGCTTAGAAATAAATTTACTGCAAAATCTATAAGACCTTATGGAGAATATTAAAAAATTTCATCATATTAAAGAAATATGCAGGATTCATGGATTGGAAGATATCTAATATTACAGTAATGCTAAATGTCAGATCTCCCCAAACTGATCAACAGATTCAGTGCAATTGAAACCACAATCCTAACTTTTTTTAAACTTAACATACTGAATTAAAAATTTATATGGAAGAGAAAGGGCTTTCAGATACTGCCAAAGAGAGATAAAATGTACGGTGGAGAGTTGGATGCTTTAAAATGTACAAGTAAATATATGTGGTATTTGCACAGGGATGGACAAACAAAATAATTGAGGCAATGTAATAGTTTAGAAATACGGCAATTTATGCAGCCTCCGTGAGGGCTTTGGTGTTCATAAAATATGTCCACAAATTCTCTGATACTCCTCCCTTAAAAAGACAGAGCCCAATTCTCCACCCCTTGAATGTGGGCTGGACTTAAGTATACAAATAGAATTACCCAAAGAGACATTGTACGTTGGGGACTAAGTTCTAAAAGGCACTGTGACTTTTCTCTTTTTATTACTTGCTGTGGAAAATTTTAGCTGCCCTGTGTTGTGAGCAGATCTATGGAGAGGCCCACATGGTAAGGAACTGGGGCCTTCTGCCAACAGCCAGTAAAGAAGTGGGACCTCCAGAATAACCTTTGTGAGTGAGCTTTCTTGGAAGGTGATCTTCTAGCCCCAGTCAAGCCTTTAGATGACTGCCCAACATTTTCACTAGGCCCTAATGAGAGATCCTGAGCTAGAACCACCCAGCTAAGCTGCTCTGGGATTCCTGACCCTCAGTAGCAGTGAGATAATGTTTGTTGTTTTAAGCTGCTAAGTTTTGGGGTACTTTGAGTAACCAGTACAATAGTTGTCATTGCTCATTTGGGAGCAATGGGAAAAGGATGAATTTGTCAAATGCTGCTGCGACAATGGACTGTATGAGGAAAGAATGAGCTTGGATCTCTACTCATACTATATATAACAAGGCGAATGAAAAATCTTATTAAAAGGACAAACTATAAAACTTTAGAAAGATAATGAAGGAGATTATCTTTGGGGAAGGATATTTTGTTTTTGGAAGATTTTATTTATTTGCCAGAGCGCGAGCGCGTGCACAAGCAGGGGAAGTGGCAGGGAGAGGGAGAAGTACACTCCCTGCTGAGCAAGGAGCCTGATGTGGGACTGGATCCCAGGATCCTGGGATCATGACCTGAGCTGAAGGCAGATGCTTAACCGACTGAGTCACCCAGGTGTCCTGGGGAAGGATATTTTAAAGAGCAAAAAATAATTAGATTATAAGGTTAAGAATGTTTTTATCAAAATACCTTTAGAGGATAAAATGATGATGTATAAGAAGATATTTTAACTTGGGGCGCCTTGGTGATTCACTAGGTTAAGCATCTGACTCTTGATTTCAGCTCAGGTCTTGATCTCATGAGTCAGTTCAGGCCCATATTGGGCTCCACGATGGGTATGGAACCTACTTACAAAAAAAAAAAAAAAAGAAGAAGAAGAAGAAGAAAAAGAAATTTTAACTTATTTAACTGAAAAAAGGTAATGTACTATTAAAGAAATGCCCACCTCTGAGTAAGAAAAAAATCAGTAGAAAAATAGGTAAAAAATTTTGACTTCATAGAAAACGAAACCTGAAAGTTAATATATATTTGAAAAGATATTGAACCTTATTAGTAATTAAGGAAACACAAATTAAAATCACAGTGAGGTAGCATTTCAAAATCATCCTATTGGAAAAATTAAGCTTTCTGGCAATATTAAGTGTCGTAGACGGTAAGGGGCACTTACATATTTGTTGGAAATGTAAAAGGTTGATACTCTAGGACTCTGGAGTGTAGATGCCAAAGAAACCCTAGAAGATATGTACAGGAATGTTCCCAGCAGTGCTATTCATAATAGCAAAGAGCCAAAGCACCCAGATGTCCCCAAGTAGAACTGAATACTATCCAACAGTCAAAATGAATCTAGCTGAGGACAACATGCATGAATCATGAAAATGGGTGAAGAAAAAAGTTGGTAGAATACATGTAGTATGATTCTGTGTATGTAAAGGTCAAAATCATGCAGTACTAAGCAATTCATGTTTAGAGATTCAAATGTGTGGTAAAACTATTTTAAAAGTAAGAAAAAACTCAGGATAGTCATTGTCTCTGAGGTGGGGGACAAAGAGGAGGCCCCATAAAGGATTTTAAAATCAGTGATCCCCCCACTTAAACCATTGATAAGTTTTGGGTTTTTATGGTAATATAAAGATTTAAAACTTTTAAAAATGGTAACATACATATATTGAAGTGCACTAATCTTAAGTGTAGTTTTGGTGAATTTTTACCTATGTATAAACTATCCTCCAGATTAAGCTACAGAATATTTTCAAAAAGTTCACTGGTGCCCTTTCCCAGTCAGTATCCCTCTCCCTGAACCACAATGTATTGTGATTCTTAAATATGTTTTGTAACTCTTCTCTTGTAAACTATTTGTTTTCATGATGTAGACCGATATATACTCTCTTAGATCTTTAAGACTTAAGTGAAAAAAGGAAGTCACAGAATATGATTGTTTTAAAAAAGAGATAGTGTGTACTATATAGAAATCATATTTTTAAAAAAATCGGTTACGTATGAGGAAGCAAATTGGAATGGAAAGGGATGATGGTATATATGTCCTATATTTCTGTTTCCTTTTTTAGGATGAGCATGTATTCATACATTACCCAGTTATAAAGAATATTCAGGATAGTTCATAAATCTTTCCTGATTATGTTGAATAAGTATCTAGTCATGTTTTCTCTGCTTATGGATTTCAAAAAAAAAACTATTATGCTATAGTAATTCTTTTTTGGTAACTAATATCCAACTTTGGCAGAAGGGATTCTTCAGCTTTGGGAAACAAAATTAAAATGAGACTAGGTGCGCCTAGGTGGCTCAGTCGGTTAAGCATCCAACTCTTGATTTGGATGTCATGGTCTCAGAGTCGTAGAATCGAGCCACATGTCCCACAGGTTGGGCTCTGTGTTGGGCATAAAGCCTGCTTAAGATTTTCTCTCTCCCTCTGTCTCTGCCCTTCCCCTCATGTGTACACATGTGCGTGCGCGCGTGCTCAAAAATAAATAAATAAAAGAGACTAACCCTGGGCTCCTGTTTTCTGTTATCAATTGAAAAGGTAGTTCTTGTACTTACAAGTTTGCAGAGTAGGTATTTAAGATTGAATCAACTAAATATGTGGTTTAGATACTCTAATCTATAAGGGATATTGTTCTTTGCTCTTTATATGACATCTTTGTCTAGATTTTTATTTTTCCACATACTACTCATTGGTACTTTGGACACAGTGGAACTTATGGTTTTACATATTATTTGCAATCAGACATTTTTCTGTTGTTCTCTTTAATTATAAAAACAACAGCTAGATACTCCTTGAAAATCACCCAAAGTTACCACCACTTGAAGACAGCCAACATTTTAGGACATTTCTGCCGTTTTTAAGCATAGTTATATATGTGTTTAGATTTTTTACAGTTTTTTAAATATACCTACTACCATCTCATAACCTGTCCTTTTATTCCCATTTTTTACAGCATTTTTCATCATATTACAAACTTCCATGTTTTCAGTGGCAAACAGCCTATTAGAGATGCTTAGAAGTTTAGAGATGCCCTTACACTGATGTATTGATGTATCTGTATTTCTCTAGGCAGATAGTTGATATAAAATATATATCTAAGAAAATCTATATACCAGAGTGGTAGAGAATCTAATTATGAGTGCTTTCCCAATGGTAGACATTAAAAATGTAGTAAACAGCCAGAATTCCTGGCATTAAAAAGAAACATATCCTTTCTCCTGATTTAAAATGTCATTTCCATTACTTTTGGAAAGACTTTATGGTCTTGCATTGTTTCGATGCTAATCTACCTTTTGCTTTTTTTTTTTTTTTGAGAATTAAGAAATATTTAGATTTGACTTTTACTTCCTTTTCTGCTGTTTTTCACTAAAATATAGTACTCAGCCTTTTAAGTTTTGCTTGGGAAGTAGGCCAAAATACCTGAGACAAGGAGATAAAATACACTCTTTCTGATCAATCAGAAAGACCAGACAACCTTTACATAAATAGGTAATCTGGGTTATTATGTTGGTTACATGCCACTTGTCTGTCAAACCATTCAAACTTTGGCAAACCTTTTTTTTTTTTTTTTTGGGTAAGGTATTTGTCACCTAAATCTCAGTTTGGGTCAGCATCACAGTATGAAATTGTACAAGAAAGGAGGAAGGACTCCACGTCTAAGGTATGTGGATGCTAAAGATGTTCTTAGTTTGGCAAGTTTACTAATGCTATAGATTGCTAATACTTGTAGTTTCTTTTTTTTTTTTTAGTCACTCTAGTATATGGAATACCCTTTCTTAGTCATCTTAGGCTCACCTAGACTAGGAGTCAACAAACTTCTTCTCTAAAGGGCCAGATAGTAAATATTTTGTGGCCCTGTGGTCTCTGTCACAACTATTCAACTCTGCTGTTTTCGTGTGAAAGCATCCGTAGACAATACATAAACTAATAGACTTCTCTTTGATCAAGTAAAACTATTTATAAAAGCAAGCAGCAGGCTAAATTTGGTTCATGGGCCATGGTTTGTGGATCCCTGGCTTAGACAATCAAACTCGCAAAACCAAATAGGCTACCCCTGGTACCAGCTTCAGTTTAAGGGAAAATTAGAGGATGAGAAACAAAGCATGCTAGTAGGGTAGCATCAGGCATATCTGTGCAGCAAGTCTTCACTGTAGAGCTCCTAAGTGACAGCCTGGAAATGAGACAATGCAGAGAATGTGGTAAGCACCCTGGCTTAGAAGCCCTGTGCTCCATAAGAGTCAGTTATTTATTGTAACAGCCCATGGGTGTAGCTTCCAGGGGTCCTGGGAAGGAACACAGCAGGTCAGAAGAGTTATAAGTCACAGAAGCCCGAAGATTTGGTTTCCCATTGGGTACTTACAGATCACTCATAGTTCTCCTAGTATAGATGCAATTCACCGGTAAGGTCATTTTTACCATAAGCTATGTGGCTTAGTAACACAGGTTACTAGGTTTTTTATCAGGTTTCCAGGAGAATGGAACTAGGAAATGTGAGCTGACACCAAGGTTGATTTCCTACAGAGAAGTTTTGTTAACTCTTTACTAAGAGGTTCCTAAATTTTTTAAAAACTCAGCTAGGTAGTTTAAAACCTATCATTTAATTGGCATTTACCATGTGCCAGATAATGTATGTATGATTTTCTTCAGTCTCCAAGCACCAACTCTGTAAGGTAAGGTATTCATTCTTGTGCCCATTTTACAGTTAAGAATTAACTAAGGCACATGCAGATAAGAGACTTGTGCAGAGTCCCTTAAGTAGAAATGCTGGAAGGAGGATTCAAGTCCAGATGGTCTGGCTCATACTAGAACTGAGGATGGAAGAGGCTTTGTAGGGTGGAGGTATTTGTCCTACCCTAGTGTTCATATTCACAGCAAAACTCCATAAGCAACCTGGAATTGATCCAGTCCAAACTGGACTGGTTCATAAGAAATGCTATAAGGAATGATAAAGACAAAGCAAAGTAGGTAAAAGAACAGATTTAAGGGCGCCTGGGTGCCTCAGTTGGTTAAGCGACTGCCTTCGGCTCAGGTCATGATCCTGGAGTCCCGGGATCGAGTACCGCATCAGGCTCCCTGCTCAGCGGGGAGTCTGCTTCTCCCTCTGACCCTCCTCCCTCTCATGCTGTCTCTCATTCTCTCTCTCGCAAATAAATAAAATCTTAAAAAAAAACAAAAAACACAAAACAGAGTTAAGGTCTCTAACAACAAGGAGTAATTTTTGTTCTGAGTCAGATTTTCACCAAAGCCTTTCTTAAGGCTTTTTTCTATGGTCAGAACGAATCCTAGGTCTTTACTTACCTAAGACCTAGAAGTGAAAAGAAAAACATACTGGCAAAAGCAAGGGTTCTTTTTTTTTCTTTCATTTTCCTTTCCTTTTCCTTTCCTTCTTCTTTCTTTCTTTCTTTCTTCTTTCTTTCTCTCTTTTTTAAAGCAAGTGTTCTTAACCTACGTCTTGGACTATGGTTAGAATCCAGAGAGTACATATGAACTTAAATGGAGGAAAAGGTTTATCTTTACTTTCACCTAACCTCTCGTTCCTTTAATTACGAATGTAGACATCAAACCATAATACTGTTAGCAAAAGCTGTGCCTTTGGTCATCAGTGGAAAGCATAGGTTTTTATCATGTTATGTTTGTGGCAGGTTTCTTGAAATACCATTGTTACTCATTCTACTTCAGCATTACAAGTTATTAGACTTGCCCCAATAGATCTTAGTATTTAATGTATTAATAGATGCACATTACATTAGGAATGATATAATTGTTACAATATAAATTATTCCCTTTGTAATCCCATGTATTTATTTTTATATTTTAAAGTACTCAGAAGAGGTCTCTAAGCTTCACCAAAATGCTGAAAGGTGGAGAGTCCGTGGCACAAAAAGGGACTAAAAACCTCTGGGCTAGAGGAAGTTTATAAGGTGAAAGAGAGGGCAGGTCCCGGTGAAAGCTTATTGACCATACACAGAATCTAGTTAGTGGGTTTTAATTTGTAGGTTTTCATGGGAATGAAAATGAAGGAATGCCTTAATCTAAATTGGCACCCAGAATAAAAATACTATTACGAATTAATATGCGTTATTAGTAGTGATGCTATCCTGTAGTGAAAACTCAGAGTATCACGATATTAGACTTCTATATTATGACTTGATGTTTTTCCTGTGGTTCACTCAGTCTTTTTCTGTTTTCTACAGGAAACTGACAGTAGTGTTGTAAAGAGCCCTACATGGCAAGATACAGAAATTGAGGAAGATATGCCAACACTTTCTCAGCAAATATGCATGGAAATTCAAGAACAGGGTGAAAAGTCTTTAGAGTCACCTATGCCTCAGTTACGTGCCAATGGTAGTGAATGGTGCCTTGAAGGAAAAGTCAAAGTGAGACCAACGAATCATGATAAAGAGTTAAGTGTCCTAAATCATGAGGGACCTGAAGGCAGAGTTCCCTGCTCTGGGGAAGCTGCAGTTAAGCCTTATGGCAAAACAGAGAGTGGGTGCACTGTATCAGGTATGACACAGATAATTGGAAGTAATACAGTTGAGACAGAAAATGAAGAGTCTTGTCTGTCAATCAGTAAAGATATTTCCAAAAGAAAAAATCCGGAATCTCTGTCTGAAGCGGTCAGGGATCCATGCGTTTCTGCAAAAAGAAGGAAAATGTTCCCCGAAGCTTCCTCAGACCAAGAGGAAACAGAAATCAACTTTACCCAAAAACTGATAGATTTGGAACGCTTACTTTTTGAGAGACATAAACAAGAAGAACAGGATAGGTTACTAGCGTTACAGCTTCAGAAAGAAGTAGATAAGGAACAAAAGAAGCCAAACCGGCAAAAAGGATCCCCAGATGAGTATCATTTACGTCCTACATCTTCACCTCCAGACAAATTGTTAAATGGACAGAGGAAGAATTCCAAAGATAGGAACTTCAGAAAACAGACTGATAGAGAGCATTCAAAATCTCAGAGAGGCTCAAAAAATGAAAATTGGCAGCCGTCTTTTAAGATCCAGGTGAAACATTCAGTTAATGTTAATGGGAGAAAGATGCCAAATTCTTCTAGAGATAATTGTAATGTATCTAAAAGTTCCCTACAGCCTAGTAAGTCACAGAAAAGTATTTTTCAAATGTTTCAGAGATATACAAAGTAATGCATTGGGAGAAGGAGTGTTTTATAATCTAGTAAAGCTGGATTATGAAGCTCTTTTTTCTGTCATAGACTCTTTAAATAGTTACACTCATCGTCTATAAAGGACTGTGTGATTACAAGGGAGGACTATATAAATGTGTTTCTGCCAAACTCAGTGGTAAGCCGGAGTCCCAATCCTTTGCTTTTTTAATAACTGTGATGTACTAAGTTTGACAATCCTTATGGGATATAAAAACGCCTTGGTGAACTCCCAAGAAATCTTCAAGTGCCATTCTGTTTCCCAAAAATGCATGTTTTACAGCCTTTGCTTCCCTTCTTGTCCTAACTAGTAATCAAAGCAAGATGGTACTATACCGAGTAGTTAGGAACCCAGGCAGGGTAAGTTTTCTTGCTACTTTCCCATATATTTGCAGAGCACTTGAAATGCATGTTCCATAACACTAAAGCAATCTAGTTTTCATCTCCACTTTAATTATTTTAACCATTATAGCATTTTCTTCAATTTAAAATGGTTTATGATCAATGTGAAATCAGAAAAACCAGAGTTTCCTGGAAAATTAGGAATCAGTTGACAGAAAGGAAACTAGGCTCTTGTGCGAAAGGAGTTAAGAGTTGGGGTGCAGCTCTGTGGGGCTGGTTGACCATTTGGAAGCGTTGGAACTGAGTGAGTGATCAGAAACTGGGCCTGGGATGGAGTAGCTGGTGAAGTTTGGTAGAGGGTTCTCCCTCCTCCTTTCTTTGCTAAATGACCTGGAAAACATTTGGGTTTTATATAGCTTTTCACACCATAGTATCTGGTGTCAAAATCAGAATCAATTACTAAATTGCCTGAAATTTAGGGATTTCACATTTCTATTAATCTGCTATTCCAGGAAAAAAAAAATGGGACTTTACTGTAGGAGAGTTAAATATCATAATATCTTTTGTTGTGGGACCTGAGACATAACCATGTGTTTATTTCCTTATATTATCATTTGTATTGATGCTGACTTTTATATGTGTTTATGGACAGAAAAAGAGAGTCTTTGCCGTCTTACCCTGAAAGTTAAATCAGAAGGCAGTGATTTCATTTTGTGAAATTTAACTTGGAGACTATTAATCTTTTTTTCATTAATATAAACAACTTTAAGCAAATAGCAGTTTTAACAGCATTTCTGCTGATCTCTAGTTGTCCATCCTTTTAAAGTAAAAATAAAATGTTCTAGAGCTAATTCTAGCTTAAATTTGTCAATATTTTTGTACATTATTAAGATTTTTTTCCTCCAAGTTTTGTAACTGAAATTCTGTTAATCTTTGCATACTTAATGGCATCTATTTCGATATTGATTGGGTAATTATGGGTAGAATTCTGATGCTAATTTAAAATTTAGTTTGCCCTTTCTCAAAAAAGAAAAAAGTGATTGCCTTCTGAGTAATGATTGTGCTGGAATGAAGTCTAGTCAGAAACTAACCAAATTTCTCCAAAATACACTAAAATCTGTCTTCTCATCAAACCAGTATTTTTCTAAGAGCAATTTCACTTAACATTTTAGGGTGGACACTGTTAGAACTCCTCAAAAGTTGTATAATTAAATTTTCCTGGAATAGTCCATGACCAAAAAGGGGAAAAAATAGTGTGACATATATAGGATTTATACATTTAACCACTTATTTGTCTGTGAAGAAGTCTTCCTGACCTTAAATTTTAATTATTAGTTTTTCTGATAGCCCTACCTTATATGCCTTTTCGTTAGAAACTAATAAATGTTTTGTGTCAGTCATTAGAGTGTATTGCTACTTTTTCCTCTCATTTTTGTGGAGGGATAGGAGAGTGTTTAACTTCTCAGGGAGCACTAGAACAGTGCAGAGGTTGAGAATCTGAAAATTAAAATAATAAAAATTAAAATGGTCTATTACATGTATTTTACCACAATTAAAAAATAAAAATTACCGGGCGCCTGGGTGGCTCAGTTGGTTAAGCGACTGCCTTCGGCTCAGGTCATGATCCTGGAGTCCCGGGATCGAGTCCCGCATTGGGCTCCCTGCTCAGCGAGGAGCCTGCTTCTCCCTCTGACCCTCCCCCCTCTCATGTGCTCTCTCTCTCTCTCATTCTTGTTCTCTCAAATAAATAAATCTTTAAAAAAAAATAAAAATTACCTACCTAAAAATAAAAAGTTCTGCATAACAAAAACTACTACCGTAATGGAAAATTGGAAGACATGGCAAATGACAGGAGGGTTGGTGGGGAGCAGATGCAGTTCATCACAAAGAGCTCATTTCCTTTATGCAAAGTATCTGCTGATACATTATGAAAACGACTAATAACTCGAAAGGAAAATTAGAAATGTTCCCAAGAAACATAGTTCCCAGGAAAGGAAATACAAATGTCTCTTAAATATGTGAAAAGATGCATAATGTCTCTTATACTAATGTTTATACATTTTTCTACCCTTCACATTAATTAAGATAAAAGTGTTTTTTTGTTTTGCTTTGGTGTATGTATGTGTGTTTAAATCTTGGCAAGAGTGTGGGGAAATAGGCACTGTTATCTGTTGGTTGGTATCAGTGGAAAATTTAAAATCCCAATTCTGAATTTGGCAATTCTATCTCTAGGAATTTCCTAAAGCTGTTTTTACATGTGTGTAGAATGACATGTATAAAATATTTTTGTATGGCACTGTTTATAATAGTAAGCTTAGTAACAACCTTAATGCCACCTCAGTAGATAATAAATGATGGTACAATGAAAGTACATCCCAGGGGCCAAATCTGCATGTTGCCTGTTTTAGGGCTTGTGGACTAAGAATGGTTTTTGTTTGGTTCTTAAGTAGGCTCCACACCCAGTGTGGAGCCCAGCGCGGGGCTTGAACTCACAACCCCGAACCTGAGCTGAGATCAAGAGTTGGACACTTAATGGACGAAACCACCCAGGTGCCCCTAGAATTCCCTTCTTAATTTGGTCTCTACCTGTATGACCTTAGGTGAACTGCTTACCTTTCATTACCTCACTTTCTTAATTTGTAGATGGGAATCCTAATGTAACCAACCTAGTTGCTCTCAAGAGGTAAGCACCTGGCACAGGCCTTGATTCAAAAAAAGAACCGGAGTAAGTGATGGTTCCTTCCCCCTGGCTCTTCTCTGACCTCACTACTCCACCAGTCCCACTTTTGGAAAGAGTCTCACTTCATCCAGTGACTTCGTGCTCCCATAAATCCCCAAATGTGGCATCCAGTAAGCTGCAGTTACCTTCTGTCTACTGATGAAGACTCCACTCACCTCTGCCAGGCGTGTCTGCAGCTCCCTGCATCACAAGAGACCCCTGCCTATAAGTCCCCCAGGTCACAAGAGTCCTTGGCCCCAAAGGAAACGAATTCTCAGAAATCCTGAGTGGCTTCTGCAAATTCCTGTAGTAGTTCACAGTTGGTATGCATAAAGGTGTGTGAAACACTAAAAACTTTGAGATTAAAAAGGTGGGAATTGAGCCACTACTGTATACCCATTTCTTATTCCTGCATGAAGATCTTAATAAACAATTATGACTTCAAATTTTGAGTCTGATTTTTCCCCCCCTAGAATATTTTGCCTTGTCTTGGCAGGACTTGGAGCAACCTTGAGTTCAGCTGAGGGGACTCTACATTTTACTTACTTTACATTTCTCTTCAACTTGCCACAATCAGGCTCTCTTCCTAGAACTAGTTCAATTCAGAAGGCTTTCTGTCAGCAGGGGATCATACACTGAGTCTCCATTTTTGTATCATTCCTCTCCATCTGTTAAGTCCCATAAGAAGTTTGGGTGTCCGCCTTTTACTGCAGGTTACACTGACCACAGACTTTCCTGAGTACCAGGACGAGGAGGAGAATCCCACTCCTTGCTCAGGTTTATACTAGACAAATGTGTATTGATCAAGGTCCAGTTAAGAAAACAAAAACCACAATATTTCAACAGAGGATATGGAGTGTGGGGGAATTGGTTAGACAGGTGTTAGAACAAAAGGGAAGGAACGCTGAGATAACCCAAAGATGATAACTGCAGGAAGTGTCTACTGCCTTCAAAGCTGGGAAACAGAAGAGTTTGGGTTACTAGAATGAGGCACTTAGGAGGTGGGGGAGGGGGACTGTGGAGTTGGCATTCAGACCTTTGAGAAAGAAACCTCTTAAGTGCTACTGGTACTCTGAAAGGGTCCAGTGAGTCTAGTTCTAGAAAAGTTGAATTTGGAAATTGGAGTCAACTGCCACTGCCGGGGTAACACTGGTAGGAACAGTAAAAAACAAGACTCCCCTCCTCGTACTACTTATAATAGAACTGAGCAGGAAGCTTGCTGATGGAGGAGGCTGGGAGAGTCTGGGAAAGTGTCTTTCATAGCACTACAGAGTTTGGGATGGCAGGCTCCGAACTGAGAGAGAAGAGAGTGTGGTTCCCCTCACATTGATTTCCTTCAGTGGATTCTGGGACTAAGGTGTCTTGAAATTTCTAAGGCAAAACCACAGAAAGCTCTTACCCTGACAAAATGGAGTAATTATGTGTGGGAAAATGCTTAAACACAAACGTGCAGAAGTAAAACTTTGTTAAGGATCTATGGAAGTAAACTGGAGAACCTTCCCAACTGGTCAGTTTCTATTGCCCTCATGATATCTAAGTGTCCCCATCTCGATTAGAGTTGATCATTCAGAGTAAGTTTTGTGTGCGTCACACCACACAGACTAACATCACCTAAAGCCACCGTTGTCCTGACTCCCTACCAGCTTCCCAGTTCCTTACCTACGGGGACACCAAGAACCCCTCTCTAAAATTTCTTTTTCGAAAATTAAGGCCTCCAGCATGATCACTAAATTCCCAGAGCTCCTAGGAGTGTATTTCTAGGTACATCTCAGAGATACTAGAGTTAAAACACCTGGATAAAATTTAAAGGAGGGCATTTGAGTAATTGAAGTAGATCGTAATGAAGTAATTCTCCAGAGTAAATCTAGATTACAAAAAAATCAGATGGCAGAGAAATTGTATAATTTTAGCAAGAGGCACTAAGAGAATACTACATCAATTTAGTTTTAACATGTGAGAGAATTGTTCGAAAGAGCTAGAAGTGCTGTAATTTATACAACCATATTCTAAATTTACTGAATTAAAAAGTGTTCAAAACCTCAGCATTTCAAGAATGATTGCCCGTTTGCAAATGCATCTTGTAAACACAAAAGTTTACTTGATTCCTTCTATATGGCAAATGCCTAGCAAACTGCTTAAACTTTTATTTGCATAAAGCTAAAAATTATATTAATTTAACTGACTTTTAGAAAAAGAGATTTTGGGGGGTTGCTGATAAGAACAGGTCACAAACCAAAAAAGAGATAAGTGGCCTAATTACCTAAGTCTTTGGAGGAGGGGGAGAAGTAGCAATTTTAATGCTGCATAATAGCAAAAGATACAAAAAAAAAAAACTGAACCCAACTTTTCTTTGGCTTAAAAAAATCTTTGAGTATCATGTATTTTTCTGAAACCTTGATTCTAAGTTTGGTGGCTTTTGCATTAAATTGTTTATTTTTTTATCCTTTTTTTAAAGATTTTATTTATTTATTTGACAGAGAGAGACAGTGAGAGAGGGAACACAAGCAGGGGGAGTGGGAGAGGGAGAAGCAGGCTTCCCGCGGAGCAGGGAGCCCGATGCGGGGCTCGATCCCAGGACCCTGGGATCATGACCCGAGCCGAAGACAGACGCTTAACGACTGAGCCACCCAGGCGCCCCCCCCTTTTGTTTTTATCTTTTTAAAAGATTTTATTTATTTGAGAGAGAGTGAGCGAGAGAGAGAGAGAGCACGAGAGGGGGGCAGAGGGACGTAGGTAGAGGGAGAAGCAGACTCCCCACTGAGCCGGGAACAGATGTGGGGCTTGATCCCAGGACGCTGGGATCATGACCTGAGCCAAAGGCAGATGCTTAACTGAGCCACCCAGGCACCCCATTAAATTGTTTTTAAATGTCAAAAAGTTATTTTGGGGGGGGAAGAGAAAAACAATTATTTTGTCATTTTACCTTAATTTTATGGAATGTGGTTTGTGTTTTTCTCCAGAGTCTTAAGAGCAGTTACTATAGAAAACACTTATTTTGAATGAGGTTGAGGTGAGTTTTTTTATTTTAGGCACTTAAAATGCCCTGAGAACAGTATTTATTTTTTCTGTTCGCACTCTTATTTTTCT